AACTCTTGCAAATTTTGAAAACGAATGTGCGCAACGTTAAAGCGAGAACCACATTTTGAAAACGACCCGCACTCATTCCGTGAAACTTTTGCACATTTTGAGAACGAATGTGCGCGGCGCTAAGGCGAGAACCACATTTTGAAAACGACCCGCCCTCCATCTGTGAAGCTGTTGCCACTTTTAAACTTCAAAGTCATAAAGGGTGAAGAAATCTCAGGCGAAACGCCCGGCCCGCCCTAAAAACTGGCATCGGGGTGCGACAGGGAGAAGTTATCTATAAGGAGAAGGATTGGAAGAGGAGGAGGAGGAGGAGGCGGAGGATGAGGACGAGGATGATGAGGAAGAGGAGGATGAGCAGGAAGAGGAGACGGAAGATCGAGGCAAACGATCGAAGCTTGAGGACCGTGGTTCGATGTCAGTTGGACGTTTTTGGCCAGCTTTGGGGCCTCCGTGGGTTCTAGGGACATCAGGGGACCTCCTGGAGAGGCTGAGGACGACAACGAGGGCGATGAGAGACAGGAAGGAGATGAGGTGGACGAGATGGAAGAGGAGGCGGATGAGAGGAGGGAGGCACGAGGATGAAGAAGGGATCAGCGACGAGCATGGAGAGGCAAGGGAAGGATGGATGCTGATGGTGGTGATGGGGAGGATGAGGAGGGGAGGAGGGGGATGATGACGAAGATACGGACGAAGATTTGGTGGAGGAGGGAATAGCGAGATGGAACACGGGTAGGTGACGACCTGAGGAGGGTGGGTGATGTTCAAGGAAGAGGAAGCGCAGATGAGGATGATGATAATCAGCAAGATAAGGGTAGGGACGATGAAGACGATGTTTCAAGAAGGGAGGGGGAGGATATCGCGGAGGGAGGACGCGGGTAGTGAGGACAAGTGTAAGCAGGGGGGGAGGTGAACACTAGGCTGAAGAAGACAGCTAGGTCGAATAGTGATTAGGAGTAGTAGAACGATGCTGAGGAGGAGGAGGAGGTATGCTGGGACGACAAGACATCTCCACGCCTCCCTTTCCATCTTTCCCGATTCTTCCCCCCCTCCTCGCTCCCCTCCCTGCTCGTCCCGTATCTCCCGCCCCCTCCGATCCGTCTCGCCGCCCGGTCTCCCTTACCATCCCTGCTCTCCCCCACGTTCCCATCCTGTCGCTCCGCGCTGCTCCCTCCCCATCCCCGGGCTCCCCCTGGTCCGCCTGCCTCCTTGCCCACCTGAAATCTCCAACACCCCCATCGCAAGCGGCACTACCAGCAGCACCACCATCTCCACCACCATCAAGACAGACATCACCAACAGCATGAACACACTCAGCATCACTGGCATCAACAACATGCGACGCCTCATCATCGCCATGACCAGCGCCTTCAATATAAACGTCACCGTCAACACCAGAAGCACTGACTATCCTTTTGTCAGGTACGTGCTGAAGATATATGTCCAGGGGTTCTTAGGGTGAACTGAGCAACTGTAACGTACATGCCTGTAGCATCGATACTGTTGCTGGTGCGGACGGTGTTGACGCCAAAACGGTGGGTAGCATCAACAATTATGGTGCCGCTGATGTTGTTGGTGATGGCGCGCGTGTTGATGTGATATGCTTTTGGTGTGTTTGAAACTTGTCTTTTGTGCAAGTGATGACGACCGTATGGCTGGAGATAATGACGCCGCTGGTTGTGATGGTAATAAAGCGTGTGCTGATGCTCGTGAAGATGCTGGCGCGTGTATCGGTGGTAGCTGCGGAAGTAAGCCGTCGACAGTGGTCTCCCGCTTGTCCAATTGCACGATGAGGCCAGGATGGGATGGGGTATAATCATATTTCTCAGGCAATGCAGACGCCACTGCATGCTCTCCAACTCTAATTTCCACCTCGCAGAGTGCGCTTGCCAAAGCACGGTCACCCTCTAAATTGCCATGCAGCGTTCGCCTGTGGCTGCCTTTTCTATTCCCACGCACCGCCTCCTCTTCCTCCTCCTCCTCCTCCCTATCCAATCGAGCGGACCTCGGCTCGTCTTCACGCGTGCGTGTCGGACGAAGAATCGGAGGAACTATCCGAATCCTCGCCATCAGCGTGAGGCTGGGCGGGCCGGAAACGACGTCCTCTGCGCAAGCTGGGGCAGATGCTCTCCTTGAGGATGTTCGCGGCAGGCGATTGCCTTATCAGCCACATAAATGATATCACATGCAACACCAGGCCTGAAAAGATCAGGTACGTGCCATCTGCGCGCCAAGAGGCATTGGATGCCAGCAAAGAATACGCCCACCGGTGGTACTCTTGAATGGACGCTTGCTTCATGTAGCCCTGCAAGGCATTCTTTCTCGCTTCATCGCAATTGTTCTCCCAACACTGCTCGTCCACAAGGTCGGAGCAGTTCGGCGAAGGAGGGGGTGGAAAGCCGTACCACTGACCACCCGCTGCTTCAGTAAACAAAACGAACTGCATTGGGACTGACCACCGCGTCGGTGAGATGGAGAGCACGTGGATCACTGTCGGCCGAAGTAATGAGTCGACAACCAAGGTGGGCCTGCCGACGACTTGCGTGAGGATCATCGTAATGACCAGCATCAGTAAGGTGGAATTGCGCGGCGACACCGCAACTGAGATGAGATAGCCCCAGGCAGTGATGGCCCAACCGAGGCACATGCATGGATACAGGTAGATATGAAAGCCGCAGGTCGCGTCCACGTTGAGCCAATACACAAAAGCGTACACTATGGTCAGGGTGCTAGCGTCTATTAAGCTCACGCAGATCCTGGCGATGTACAGCGACGTGATGCTTATACCCGTGCTGGACTCCCTCCAGAGGATGGGCCGGTCGGCAAACGTAGACAAGACCGAGACGCCTAGGACCATCGAGAGGCCCATGTGGCACATCGAGATCTCTACCAGCTGGCCGCTGGTGCCTCTCTGCATGAGCGCGAAGGCCACCGCGGCCACGACGATCAGGGAGATGTTGACGACGCGCCGCACCCAATCTCGCCAGAACTGCACAAGCCTGCGGTGCGAAATCATGACGAACTGCCTGCAGCGTCCGGGCGGGGTGCGCGTATCGAGGGCGCCCGCCTGGGTCTTCGAGCCCACCGGGCCACGGGCCGATTCCTCCGACTCCTCCATATACCCGGCGGCGAACTTGTCCATCATGGTCTGGAACTTTGCCCTCAGGAAGGCGCAGAAATCGTCCTTGTACACAAGCGCCCGAGGGTCCGCCTTGCCCGAGTCCCGGCGGGCACCCATCGTCGCCAGGAGGTCGTCCAGCGTCGCCACCTCGACCTGGCTGCCGGTGGAGCTCCTGAGGAGGCCGCGCAGCTCGTGCCTGGTCAGGCAGCCCGTGCCGTGGACGTCGGCCAGGTCCCACTCCTGCGAGACCATGCCGTTCAGCATCTCGTAGGAGTGGCGGGTGGCTGTCTGCCTCCTCTTCTTCCTCTCGCCCACCCTGTCCGGCGTGGGGCTCGCGGCCTCCCTGTGCGGGGTCCGCCGCCACAGCTCGACCAACTGCTCGCGCCCGAGGCTCGCAGAACTGGCGCGCTGGACTTCCCCAGAGATCACGTCCATCAGCCAATCCGCGGGATTGTCCTCGGGGATCCTTCGGAAGCCGTGGCCTTCGAAGTAGGAAATCCGCCACCGTGCCCCCTGGCACGTCGAGGCGTGCTGGAATGCCAAGTGCTGTCTGGTAGGGTTTCTGCAATCTTCTAAGGGGCCCCCCCTCTCCCCGCCGCACCTCGTCGCGCGCACCGCCCCCTCTTCCCGAGGCTCTGTCGGCCCCCAGACGCGTCCCTTGCGGTCTCTGACGCGTCCAGCATCCGCAAGGTGGCTTCCAATACGTACCTGGGAAGCCACCAAGGCCTCCAAGATGCCTCCAACACCGCCTAAGATGCCCCAAAGAAGCCACGTGAGGGCTCCAAGAGGACCCCCACGAGGGCCCCAAGGGGCAACAATCAATGATTATCATTTTGTGTTTTCGATGTTTTTCACCTCATTCCCTCTTCAAGTTTCCGACGCTCCAAATCGACCCCATGGGCCCCCAAAACAGCCCCAAGAGGCTCCCAAGAGGGGCCCTCGACGGCACAAGCGAGCCCCAAAATGGCCCAAGAGGCGACCAAGCCAACCCAAGAGAGCCCTAAGACGGCCCCTAGAGGGGCCCACGAACGGGACCGTACCGGCGATTCAAGCGTTCCGCCGGAAGAGGCCCCCAGGAGACCCCAAGAGGCCTCCAAGAAGCCCACAAGAGGGCCCCCAAGAGGCCTCCAAGAGGTCGCCAGACGGTCCCCAAGAGGCCTCGAAACTGCCTCCAGCAAGCCTCCGAGAGGGTTCCCACGATATCCCAACGACCATCATCATCACCACCATCATCATCACCACCACCACCATCACCATCATCATCATCATCATCATCATCATCATCATCATCATCATCACCACCACCACCATCACCACCACCACCACCACCATCATCATCATCATCACCATCACCATCACCATCACCATCATCATCGTCATCATCATCATCATCATCATCATCATCATCATCATCATCATCATAATCATAATCATCATCACCATCACCATCACCATCACCATCATCATCATCATCACCATCACCATCATCATCATCACCAGCACCATCACCATCACCATCACCAGCATCATCATCATCATCATCACCACCACCATCATCATCATCATCATCATTGTCATCATCATCATAATCATAATTATATCACCATCGCCATCATCATCATCATCAGCATTACCACCACCACACCACCACCACCATCATCATCATCATCAGCAGCAGCAACAGCATCGTCAGCATGATGATACTCATCATCATCCTCATCATTATTTTCATTCTCTTCCTCATCACCACCACCACCACCACCATCATCATCATCATCATCATCATCATCATCATGATCCTCATCCTCACCATCGTTATCATGATGCCGAGCATGCTGGGCTGGCACGGTGGCGGGACTTGCCGCAGGCAGCTGGATAGCGCCTTCTGGGTCGCCAAGGTACACGGTGCGACCGCCGATGCCCAACAGCAAGACCTGATCGAACAGCTTGAACAGCGAGTACCGGGGCTGGTGTATCACCATGATGATCGTCATGCCCAGGTCAGTAATCCAACTACCCCTTGTTGATCGGGGGATCCATCGGCGGAGTAAGCGAAAGAGATTTCTTCCCACTCAAGCACCACTTTCCCGAACCCTTTTTGATGTTGGCGTGCTGGGATGCGAACTCTGGAGGTGGAGATCCGAATTCACACGCCACGCCTTGAACATGTTTGCCAACGTGGGTCCCAAACAATGACCCCTTAAACTCTGGATGTGAAGCTTACGTGGTGCAATCAATGTTGTGCAATCTATATGATGCAGTCTTATTTTGTGCAGCAAGCTGTGCGGTCCAATCTATGCGATGCAGTATATGTTGTGCAATCCACGTGATACAGGCTACGTTGCGCTGCGCGCTATGCGTTGCAGTCTATGTGATGTAACCTATGTGGTGTAGTATTTTGGCGTGAGCTGTGTGGTACATTCGATGCGATGCAAACTATGATGTGCAGTCTACTTGATGCAGTCTATGCTGCGGTGCAAGCTATGCGTTGCAATCAATGGGGCGCAATTCACGACTTGATATTGAAACCGCCAACTCCAATATTAAGCAAGCATCCTACCCATCCACCCGCAAAGTGCTGGCAAAACGCCAGAAGGCGTGAGTGAACTTACTCATCGGACCCTGCCCATCAATCTTAACAGGCGCAACGACGCGCGGACCCTGCTTATTCAGGTCCACTGCTCGGGCGGGCGAGTGTCGATGGTGACGACGGCATCGGCGACGACGGTGACGACGACGGAGGTGGTTATGATGACGAAGGTGGTTGCGACGACGATACGATGGCCATGGCGATGATGAGACCTGCCATCGGGTGATGATGATGACGATGGCAGTTGATGGCTTCCAGCTTGAGACGACAATGGCAGCGACGATGCTGACAAGAATGCGCGCCCGCGCAAGAATGCAGAGTGCCTGATCGCTTTTTATTGCTACCCCAATTCATGTCCATATTTGTTTGAAGATCTTTGTCTTGACACGCTGGAAGATCATTGGTGTTGGAATGATTTCGCCATGCGCGCGCGGAAACGCGCGCGCGCGTGGCTTCCTGCACTGTAGGTTGGACCCACAAAATGCGGGTGCGAGTTGGTTGTTGAACGTTCCTGGCATGCGCGCGTGTGCAGCCAGCACTGTTTCATCTGAGAGAATTGCCAAACACCGTTTTTTTTGTTTGGGGGGGGGGGTACACCTCTTTGAACTAATGGCTTCCGCGAGTGCGCACGCACGTGCATACGTCTTGTGCTTTTTGATTGTCGACTGTTTTTCTTCGCACTGGTTGTGTCAACATGCGTCGGGGTAGCTAAGGAAAGAGCAGTCTCGGACGTATTTTGACGATGATCGCGCGGCGGCGCGCGTGTGTGGCCCGCATGACCCTTTATTAATTCATTAAATGAACGAGTTCAATGATTAATTGAATATTTTGCATATTTTTCAAGTGTGTGTGTATATATATATGTACACATTACACATCTTATTTAGCATAATCGTTCTAGCAGAAATCAGTTCTGAAACCAGCGCATGTGCGCCGCATCGTCTTATCTGACAAAGATGATCCGGGGGGGGGATGTCGGGATTGGCTGGGCAGTACTGTATGATCCGCTACCGTGCTTCGAGGCACGACATGGAGTTACCCCCAGGCTCTCATGTATTCTCTGTTGTCTGTACTCAGGACTAGGGGATTCTAGTATTCTAGGGCCTTGGGCCCCCAAATTCTCAAATTTACTGGGCGCTCCCGTGCGCTCCTGGGCTGCCTCGCGTGACTATTCCAGAGGCCAGGGGGCCCCAATACGGCGTTCTCGCGTTTTCGGGCTTCCAACGCTCGAAGATGGCCCCAGAGGCCCCCAAGACCGGCCCAAGAGGCCCCCAAGAGGGCCTCGATACGGTCCAAGGGGGCCCCTAAACAGCCCAAGAGGCGCCCAAGAGGGTCCCAAGACGACCCCCAGAGGGGCCCAAGAGGGGGAACACGAACCGATAATGCGAGTCTTCCGCCCCAAGAGGCCCTCAGGATGCCCCAAGAGGCCCCCAGGAGAGTGCAAGAGGCCCCCTAGAGGCCCCCAAGAGGCCCCCCCCCAAAATAGAATTTTAGGGGGAGGGGAGAAGACTTCTTAGAAGGAGGCTGCTTCTAAGAAACTTTTCCCCCTCCCCCTACTCCCCTCTGCGCGTGGCCGGTCTGAAATGACGAACATGTTTCCGAATCGATGCCTTGGGGCCGACCCGTGGTTTTGTGTCCTCCCTCCTCCTCCTCCTCCCTCCTCCTCCTCCTCCTCCTCCCTCCTCCTCCTCCTCCTCCTCGCGGTTTCGTGCCAGGATCTTGACACACGTGTGCGGCGGCTGGCGCGCGCGTTGCCCGCCTGGTGCTTTTTTCTGGGGGCTTTGGGCAGAACAGGGCTCTTCCAGAGAGCACGTCGTTGATCGACGCAGATTCTTGCCCTGCCTCATGTGACAGGGGTGAGGGGAGGGGGGTTCAACGCAGGGGTTGACCAGAAGGGTATCATTAGATCTCTCGGGTGGGCGTCGTCGATCAACGCATGTTCTCGCATGGTCTTGGCTGACAGGGGTGAGGGGAGGAGGGGGCCAATACAGGGGTCGGCCAGAAGGGTCCTCTTGGACACCTCGCATGGGCGGCCGCGCAGAACAGCAGCCCGGACGCTCGCCCGGTCTGGCCCTCGGCGGGGGGGCGGAGCCCCATCCCTTGACGGAAGCGGGGCCCGTGGAATGCTGGCCAGGCACGGGGCGACGGACACGGCGGCGACCGGGCGAGCATCCAGAGCACCCGGTCGGCGAGCGGGGCGGCGACGAGGCGGGCACGAGGCGGACGCCCGGACACCCAGCCGGCCAGCGCACGGGGCGGCGACGAAGCGACCGGCGGCGGAAGCCCTGGCACACCCAGGCAGCGTGCGAGGCGGCGACGCGACGGCGACGGGCGACCGCCAGGCGAAACCACAGAACACCCAGCCAACTACGGTAGAGGGAGGTAAGGGCCCCGAAGTGTGTGTAAGGGGGGGCCGCGATGCCACCTGAAGGCTCCGAGAGGGCCCCGCTGCAAGGACCGCCGCCTTCGAGGTCTCCAGGACCTCTGATGGGAGCGCTCTGAGCGTAGGCGGCTTAGCGAGGTAGGTCTTCTAACCTCATCCTTCCTCTTCAGGGAGAGGTTTATCCCTCCCCAACCCTCTCCCAATGGATCTGGAAGCTTTCCACTGCGACGCGTTAGAGCGTCAGAGATGGCCCAAGATCGCTCCAAGACGGCCCCAGATTGCCTAATTAAGATGGCCTCCGAGACGGCTCCACATATCCTATCATGGCTAAGGATAGTCTCCAGCATGCATCCAAGAGGCCCCAAGAGCGCGCCAAGCCGCCTTCGAGTGTCCTCCGAGCGTCCCAGGGGCGCCCCCGAAAATCCTTCCAACACCTGAGGAGGAAGTCTATACTTCTTGCCTTATCGCTTCTGGCTCCCGGTGGGCGTCCTAGGCCTCACGACTGCCCCAAGATGGCCCAAGCGAGCCCTAGGAGTGCCCCCCCAAGGAGCGCTCTTCTGGCATCCGACGGGGGGCAGTTCAGGGCAGAGGCGAGCAGAACGAGCCCACGCGGCGCCGAAACGTGTGGGAGCCTGCGCCCTTGTGCTCCGCTTGGGCCCAGCTCGTCCTGAGCTTCACCAGGTCTGCGGTGGCAGATTTCTTCGACACAGGGCGAGCTCATGCTTGGGGCCGCGCCGCGAGATGTTGCACAGGTGCTTCGCGTGCCCTCTCAGCTGCTTCGCCCCCTCTGGGAGAGTGGACCTCTCGAGACTCCCACATGACTTGCTCAAGAGGAGGAAGAAAAGGATGACGATGAGGAGGAGGAGGAGGAGGACGAGGAGGAGGAGGAGGAGGAGGAACGCTTTCAAATATACGGTGCTCACGCTTCTCTCGCACGCCGATCTAGGACACGGAGGGTCGCACGAGCGAGCCCCGAGTGAGAAAGGCGCAAAGGAAGGCCGTGCTCGCGCGAAGCGCCATGGATCCTCTTCAGGGCGTTCACGATCATCAGCGAGCTGGTGGAGTCCAGCCCAGAGGTGGGCTCATCCAGGAACAGCAGCACCGGGCAGGCCACCAACTCGAGCCCAATGTTCACCCGCTTGCGCTGACCACCGCTTATGCCCCGCCTCTCCACGCCGCCGACGATGCTCCGCTGGATGTGGCCTATCTGGAGCACATGGAGCACGTCCTCGACTATGTCATTGATCTCCGCTCGGGTCAGCGTGTACTCGTTTCGCAACTTCCCCGAGAACTCTATCTGCTCCCGGACCGTCAGACTTTCGTGGACCACGTCATCTTGCGGCACGAACCCCATGATGTGCTCAAGCCGCGAGACGCTTGCTGCCTCGCCGTTGACGCACACCTGCCCTGTCATTCTGCCATACGTGCTCTTGCCGCACAACGTGTTCATGAACGTCGTCTTGCCGCAACCAGACGGGCCCATGATCGCCGCCATCTTCCCCTTACCAATAGACCCCGTCACTCCTTGCAGCACAGTTCGGCCGTCAGCCTTGAGGGTCAGCCCGAGCTCTTCGAAGTCCAGTCTGGCTCCGAGTTCGCTGCGACGCATACCCTTGAACTGGTAGCCCTCCACGGCGGCCGCGGGAAAGAAATGCATGACCAAATCCTGGATCAACTTTTCAAGCTGCTCCGCCCGCTTGAAACTTGCCTCCTTGCTCGCAGATCTGTACATCCAAGACACATGGAATATGAGAGAGGCGATCATCAGGAAAACGGACAGTCCGCAAATGACGACGACCAGCGGATGCATTTCGTTGGTGTCTACGGCTCCATCCAAAATTTCCGATGCGGTCTTGTTCGTCGAGTTCATGAGCATGACCAGGACGCCGGGGGTCACGCACTGGTCGGGGGCCGAACCCTGGGCGATGAGCATATCCAGTATGTCCTCATAGCCCCCGCCCGCGGGCTCGCGGGGGCCAGGGAGTGCACCCTCGACGAAGTTAGGGGAACGAAGAATGGCATAAACATAAAAACTCGGAGGTCCGCACGGATTTCTCGGATTCGCGCTGGACCGCCCTGGCGGCGCCTCGGGCGCCACCCCTGGCGCGCTCGGCGCGCCAGGGAGGGGGTCCAGCGCCGATCCGAGAAATCCGCGCGGACCCCCGAGTTTTTATGTTTATGCCATTCTTTGCTCCCCCAGAAGTGAGGGCCCAGGAGGTCCGTGTAGTTCTCCAGCAGGCCGGGGCCCAGGAGGTCCGCGTAGTTCTCCATGGCGTGCCGCGGGGCGCTGACACCGCGCCGCCCCCCTCGCGGAAGGGCAACGCTCCTGTCCCCTGGGGCTCGAGCCCGCACCGGCGGCAGACGATGGGAACGCCGTTCTTTTGTTGTTGTTGTTGTTGTTGTTGTTGTTGTTGTTGTTGTTGTTGTTGTTGTTGTTGTTGTTGAACATTATTTCTTCTTAAGAATAATTATTGTTGGGGCCCCTGGTGCACGACCCCCCCGCCGCGCCTAGGCCGCAGCCTCATTTTCATCATTTTCGTGAGGAAGTCTCAGGCAAAACGGGTTGGTCCGGATCCGGTTGTGTTGTTACGATCGGTTTTCCCTTGCAAAAAATAAGCTAAAGTGGACATTTCTTGTTCTAACATAACCAAACTTCAAGAATCCCTTGCAAAAAATAAGGTAAAGTGGACATTCGCGCGCGCAAGACGAAATCCTTCCAAAACCTTAGTTTTCGTAGCGATTTTAACATAAAAACATCAAAAAACCAATGGTTTTTCAAACAAAAATTGTCAAAATTTCATCCCGCGCGCTCTTGCGGATTCGTAGGAAACCCAACACTTTTTAAACATTTCTGTCAAACGGGCTTTTGCGAGCAACTTTTTCGAACTTCTGCAACAACGGTTGCGCACCTGCCAGGGCCATCATCCCTGTCAAATAATACCATGCGGGACACATTCGTTTTTTCTTCGCGCGCGCACGCCGTCGTCGTCGGCCGCGGGGCCCTGAATAGTAGCCACGGTCGTCCGCATGCCACGAAGTGAAGTGTCCGAACGTCATAGGGCGGGAAGCTGGGTGTGGGTAGTGGCGAAGAGTCGTTTGGAAATTTGGTAGAGCTTGAACCGGCCCCCCACAAAGTGGGGGTATTGCCCGCCTCCTATGAAAACCCTGGCGCTGGTGAGAACGGTGTGTCCCCACGTGCTAGTAATTGTTGTTGTTGTTGTTGTTGTTGTTGTTGTTGTTGTTGTTGTTGTTGTTGTTGTTATTTTCGTTTTTTTTTGGGGGGGGGGTTTGTTTAATCTGTTTTTGTTTTATATGTTTTTTTTGTTGGTTTGTTTCTCTCGCGACGAGAGGGTTTTCGCTATTTTCGGCCTCGGGGGGCCCTCGCCGGGCCTCAGGGCCGTCATCAAAACGACTCAGGATGAAAAGCCGGTCCACGGGAAGGGTCCAGGCCTCTGAGGGTCGACGCCATGGAAGAATCACGACGTCGGGGGTCTGGGGACACCGCGTGGATCGTTCGAGCTTGAGCTGGTGAACGGGCAACGCGCGCTCATACCTGTAGTGGGTGATGACCCGCGCCTCGCAACCTGAGGCTGCGCCATAAAGTACTCCAGATTGGGGGCCTCATTTCGGGGGGGGTCTCTTCCAGGCTATCTTGGAGGGCCGGGGGGGTCTGGGGACGATGTTTTGGAGGGTTCTCCCCCTCCCTTTTATTCCGAAATCTGGGGTACATGGGCGCGGGCTGGCCACCCAAAATGCCCCCCCGAGAGACCTGAGGCCCGCATAGGTATGTGGGTGCCGGTTGGCGGCTGGCGGTGAGCGATCGGCGGCCCTTCGATCGCTGATGGTCCCGTGTTGGCGGATTTGAAGGGGCCCTGGGACACACAAATAAATACACACAAATGAACATATTCCCCATATTTTCCTATATTTTCTGGGTTTTTGTCTTCCCCCCCCACTTCCCATATTTTCCCATATTTTCTGGGGGATCGAGGATTAATTGTGTCTGTGTGTTTTCTCCTCTCCTGAGGATTCAGGGCCGCTGGCGGCGTTCAGCCCTGAACGCCCGCGGCGGGTGGATACCGCACGGATCCTTCAACGCTGAGCGGTCGGCGGCGTTCCGAACGCTGGATGGTCCCATGTTGGCGGATTCGGGGGCCGCTGGCGGCTTTTCAGCCTTGCGTCGGGGGCTGCGACAGGTGCCCCCGGGCCCAGGGTGCCCCCAAGCTCCTCGCTCCACTTTTTGGAGGCCTTTAGGTCGGGCATGTCCTCCTACAGGCGGATTCTGGGCGAAAAATTAAACATAGTCCAAACATGCCCCCAAATAGTCAAAATAGTCCACAAATCGTCCCCAGACTATTTTTGACCATTTTCCTCCTGTAGAGGGACAGGCCCGACTCAAGGCTGCCTGGGCTGAGCCTCGTGATAGGGGTTCTCTCTGGAGGCCGTGGGGGCCTCCCTGGACAAATCCTGGGGGCACCTTGGGGCCAGGGGCACTTCCGGCAAGGCCCGAGGCGAGGGCGAGAGGAGGCCCTGGACACCGAGAGCACGAGGGTGCGCAGAGTGGAGGAGGGCGTGGAGGACACCGGGCACGAGGCGGACGAAGACACCGAACGCACGAGCAGAAGGAGAAAAAGCGCCGTAAACCACAAACAGAAACTTTTAGCGCTCTGCGCGGACTTCCTGGGCTGCGCTGGACCCCCCCTCCCTGGCGCGCGGAGCGCGCCAGGGGCGGCGCCGGAGGCGCCGCCGGGGGGGCGCCGGCGCGGATCCGAGAAATCCGCTCGGAGCGGCAGAAGTTTATGTTTATGCCGCTTCTTCTTCTTCTTCTTCTTCTTCTTCTTCTTCTTCTTCCTCTTCGAGACGAGGGCACCACACGCACGAAACATCGACCGCGAGGCGGACGACCGAGCGACACCCGAGCGAGCGCGCCGCGGCAAAGGGGGGTCGCCGCCGCCGGCGCACGCCGCACGGCGCCGCCGGGCGCTGCCGGGCGACGCGCGGTGGGCGCCAAGGCTCCGCGAACCGCGCCGGGGCTCCGCGCCGGGCAGCGAGCCCCGCCAGAGGGGCCGTCGTCGTCGTCGTCGTCCTCCTCCTCCTCCTCCTCGTCCTCTTCCTCCTCCTCCTCCTCTTCCTCCTCCTCCTCCTCCTCCTCCTCCTCCTCGTCGTGCTCCTTGTCCTCGGCGGCCATGCACCCAGACCCCCTCGCGCTGTGGAAGGAGCACGACGGGAAGTTTTTCGCGATGTTCGGCCTCCAGGGGCCCTCGCGTCGTGAAAGCATCGCGACGGGAAATTCTTCGCGATTTTTGGCCTCCAGGGGTCCTCGCCGGGCCTCGGGACTCTCAGCAAACCACTCAGGATGAAAAGCTGGTCCCCGGGAAGGGGTCCAGACTTTTGAAGGTCACGTCATGAAAAAAATACGACGTTGGGGGTCGCTGACTCTTGGGGACGGGGACGTGGATAGCGCGCCGCGCCGAGGCGTGGTGGGCAAGAAGCGGCGGCGCGACACGCCAAGCCAGAGTTCCTGCTGCGTCCGTCCCCGCCGCCCCCATGGTGTCCTGTTGGGATCGCCGCGGGGACTGCTAAGTGGATAGGGGGCTACACTTAGGTCGGGCATGTCCCCCTATTTGGACGAAAAATCGTCCCGAGACTATCTTTTTTCTATTTTTGAATATTCCTCCTGTAGAGGGACAGACCCGACTTAAGGCTATTGGCGGATGCCAAGGTTGTGATACCTGGCCTAACCGGGCTTACAAGTGACCCTAGGCAGGCGTGACCTTTGATGCGCGTCTTTCGGGGGCCGCGGGGGAGGCGGGGGGGGGGGAGGGCAGGAGAAGGAGGAGGAGGAGGAGAGGAGGAGGAGGAGGAGGAGGAGGAGGAGGAGGAGGATGAGGAGGAGGAGGGAGGAGGAGGAGGGGGAGGGGAGGGGGGGAGGAGGAGGAGGAGAGGAGGAGGGAGGAGGAGGTGGAGGAGAGGAGGAGGAGGAGGGAGGAGGAGGAGGAGGAGGAGGAGGAGGAGGAGGAGGGAGGAGGAGGAGGAGGAGGAGGAGGAGGAGGAGGAGAGGAGGGGAGGGGAGGGGGAGGGGGAGGGGGGGGGAGGGAGGAGGAGGCGGAGGATGAGGAGAGAGGAGGAGGAGGGGGGAGGAGGAGGGAGGAGGTGGGGAGGAGGAGGAGGAGGAGGAGGAGAGGAGGAGGAGGAGGAGGAGGAGAGGAGGAGGGGGAGAAGGGGGGGAGGAGGAGGAGGAGGAGGAGGAGGAGGGGAGAGGAGGCGGAGGGGGGGAGGAGGGGGGAGGGAGGGGGAGGAGAGGGGGAGGAGGAGGAGGAGGAGGAGAGGAGGAGGATGAGGAGGAAGAGGAGGAGGAGGAGGAGGAGGAGGAGGAGGAGGAGGAGGAGGAGGAGGAGGAGGAGGAGGAGGAGGAGGAGGATTAGGAGAAGGAGGAGGAGGGGGGGCAAATCCAGGCGTGCAGGCTGCTGCCGCGGGGGCCCCCCAGTGGGCCTGCCCCGGAAGCCACTCCGGCGAGGGGTTCGCGCTTGGGCCGACCGTGGTGAAGAGCCCATCGGAACGTCAACGTTTCCTTATGCGGCGTTTCGACATTGGGCGGGAGGGGGGGAGGGGGGGGGGGGTCTGGCTCCGGACCTCTGCTTCAATGCGGCTGTTTGCAGCAGTGCGTCCTGCGGGGGAGACCCCACCTGCTCGAGACGGGCGCCCAAAAACAGGCAAGATCCACTCCATGTGGGTGTGGGGGAGGGGGGGGGGTGCGAAGGCCCGCGCGGATCGGCAAAACGATGAATAAAAAACGATCAGTTGAGCCGACCGATCCTATCGATCGATCGAGCGGCGGCGAAACGCCTCTCGAACGTCGAACCCGTCGAGCCTCGAGCCGATCCGATCCGATCGATCGAGCGGCGGCGAAAGGCCTTTCGAACGACGAACCTATCGAGCCTCGAGCCGATCGATCGATCGATCTGGCGGCGGCGAAACGCCTCTCGAACCTCGAACTTATCGAGCCTCGAGCCGACCGATCGATCGACCGACAGCGATCCGTCTCTCGGACCTCGAAGCCAGTCGATCCGATCTATCGATCGATCGAGCGACGGCGACAAGCCTCTCGAACCTCGAACCTATCGAGCCTCGAGCCGATAGATCCGATCGATCGATCGAGCGGCGGCGAAGAGCCCCTCGAACCTCGAGCCTATCGAGCTTCGGGCCGATCGATCCGTTCGATCGATCGATCGAGCGGCAGCGAACCGCCTCTTGAACCTCGAACCTATCGAGCCTAGAGAGGACAGATCCTATGGATCGATCGATCGGGCGGCGGCGAGACGTCTCTCGACCCTTGAACCTATCGAGCCTCGGACCGATCGATCCGATCGAGCAGAGGCGAAAAGCCTCTCGGACCTCGAACTTGTCGAACCTCGAGCCAATCGATCCGCTCCATCGATCGATCGATCCAGGGGCGACGAAAAGACCCTCGAACCTTGAACCTGTCGATTCTCGAACCGATCGATCGATCGAGCGGCGAAAACCACTGTTAGAACCTCGAAACAAAACTCTCGAACCCCGAACCTTGAACCTATCGAACCTCGAGCCGATCCGTCGATCGTTCGATGGTGGAACGCATCTCGCACCTCGAACCTATCGAGCCTCGAGACGATCGACCCGATCGATCGATCGAGCGAGAGGCGACGAACAAACCTCTCGAAACTTGAACCAATTGAGCCCCGGGCCGATCGATCGATCAATCGAGCGGCGTCGAAAAGCCTGTCGAAATTCAAATAGACAACAACATCCATAACCATAACTTCTCCGAGGTCCACGCGGACCTGCAAGAAATCCTGTTTACGTCGTTTTGTGTTGTTCGATCGAGCCCATCGAATCTCGAGTCGATCGATCCGATCGATCGAGTGGCGGCGAGAAGCTCCTCGAACCTCGAGCCTATCGAGCCCCGAGCAAATCGAGCCGATCGGTCGAGCAGCGGCCAAAACCACCTTTAGAACCTCGAACCTATCGAGCCTCGAACCGACCGGTCCGATCGATCGAGCGGCGGCGAAAAACCTCTCAGACCTCGAAGGCATCGAGCCTCAAGCCGATCGAGCCGACCGATCGACCAATCGAGCGGCGGCGAAACGCATACTCGGCCCTCGAGCCTACCGGGCCTCGCACGGAAAGAGTCGATCGACCGAGCGGCGGCGGCGGGCGGCCCCATCGAGTCGATCGAGAGCCGATCGAGCGGCGGCGGCGGGCGGCAGCGGCAGCGGGCGGCGGCGGCGGCGGCGGCGGCGGTGGTGGGCCGCGGTCCTCGCCCGTGGCGGCGGCGGCCCGCGAGGGGAGGCCGCCGTCGCCGAGGGCCCTCTCGAGCCTGCGTGCGCGGGGCGGCCGGCCAGCGGTCACGGTCGGGCCGCGGCGATCCGCGTGGTCGTCGCCGTCGTCGAAGTGGTCGTCACTGTCGTCGTCGTCGTCGTCGTCGCCGTCGTCGTCGCCGTCGTCGTCGTCGTCGTCGCCGTCGTCGTCGTCGTCGTCGTCGTCGTCGTCGTCGCCGCCGCCACCGCCGTCGTCGTCGTCGCCGTCGCCGTCGTCGTCATCGTCGTCGTCGTCGTCGTCGCCACCGCCACCGCCGTCGTCGTCGCCGTCGTCGTCGTCGTCGTC